ATATATTTATATAATGCTGAAGTCAGGGCTTTTGGTGTACCCATCACCAGAATAGTGTACATTGTACCCAATGGGTAGATTTTTATCCCTCACTCACCTCCGCCCCTCCCCCCTTCTTAGTTTTCAATGTGTATTACACCACTTTAGAATAGTATATATCGCTGATTTAGCTCCCACTTAAAAGTGAGAACATGTGGTATCTGTTTTTCCATTCCCGAGATACTTCACTTAGGATACTGGTCTCCAGTTCCATCCAAGTTGTTGCAAAAGACATTATTTCATTCCTTTTTATGGTATATATCTCATATTTTCTTTACCCACTGATCAGTTAATGGGCACTGAGGTTGATGCCATATCTTTTCAATTGTGAATTGTGCTGCAAAAAACATTCGAGTGCAGGTGTCCTTTTGATGAAATGACTTCTTTTCCTTTGGGTAGATACCCAGTAGTGGGATTGCTGGATTGGATGGTAGGTCTACTTTTATTTCCTTTAGGAATCTCCATACTGTTTTCCATAGAGCTTATGCTTACTTACAGTCCCACCAACAGCGGATATGTGTTCCCTTTTCACCACATCCCTTGTTTTTTGACTTTTTAATAACGGTCATTCTGACAGGGGTAAGGTGGTGTCTCATTGTGGTTTTGATTTGCATTTCCCTGATATCAATGTGAACATTTTTCTGATTCTCACTCTCCACCCTTTCCTGATGATCCTATCATCTAGAAACTTCCTCCAGAATTGGACTTAACTGTGATTTCACGTCCTCATAGGATTTTCCTATAAGGAAAATTGGCTCCTTCTCAACACACAAACATCTTTAAGACCCTCTTATTCTGGAGGAAACTTCCTCCAGAATTGGACTTAACTGTGATTTCACGTCCTTACAGGATTTTCCCTCTCTCTGTCTCCATTGGCTCCTTCTCAACACACAAACATCTTTAAGACTCTCTTATTCCAAACTTCATGCATTATTTATCTGTAACTGTGTAACAAATTACCGCAAAATTTAGTAGATCTAACAATAAGCACTATCACACAGTTTCTGTAGGTCAGGAACATATAATCAGCCTAGCTAAGCAGGTGGTGGGTCTGGCTCTGAGTCTCTGGGGGTGGGGGGTGCTGCAGTCAAGATGTCGGCCAGGGCTGCAGTCACCAAAAGGCCTGACTGGGCCTGGAGAATTCACTCCAGGCTGAGTGTCCTTACAACCAGCGGCAGCTGGCTTCCCCCACAGCAAGTGATCTGAGAAAGCAAGCAAGCAAGAAGGAAGCCCCAATGCCTTTTGTGACCTAGTCTCAGAAGTGGCACATTGTCACTTCAGCCTTATTCTATTTACTAGAAGTGAGTGGCTACATCTAGTCCACACTCAAAGGAGCAGAATTTGTCTCCATCTCTTAAGGAAAGGAATTTCAAAAAATTTGTGGAGGGGGGAGAGGAGACAAGGGCAATATACGTAACCTTAATGTTTGTACCCCCATAATATGCTGAAATTAAAAAAAAATTTTTTCAAACTTGTCATCAAACAATAGAAAAAGAAAAAAAGAAAAAAAATTTTTTGTGAAGATATTTTAAGACCACCATATCTCTCAAACCATTTTTCAAGGCTGCTAGCCCTTCAAGTTACTTCTCTGCTTTTTTCCTCCTTTCAGGGCAACTCGTGCCAAAATAGTGATCCTTCCCTCATCTTCTCTTCACTCAACATTCAAGTGTTGACAGTCCAGATTATTACCCCCTAACTGAGCACTGCTGCTATTGAGCATAATATCCAAATTGGCATGATTCAAGGCCCTGCAAAACCTAGCCACAGCCTACCTTTCCTTCTTATCGTCCACAGTTTCCTTTACACATCCGCCAATTAATTAGACTTCTCACTATTCCTTAAACATGCCCTTGGCTTTCCCACCTCTGTGCTTTTGCTCAGATGTTGTCTTTCACCAGGAAAGGCCTTCTTTTCAGGTTCTCATTTTCAAGACCCAATTCAAGTGCCATGTCCTGCTAGATTTCCTTGATCACCCCTCCCTGCTCCACACTCACAGAGTACATTGACTGTCAACTTTACTGCAGTCGCCCTACTTTACACCATTATAGTATTGGTATACAGCTTTCTGTTCCTTTCAGCACCCCAACAACACCTTCTATCTTGCTCAGACTAAGTCTTTAATCTTTCTTGAATGAATAATTTTACCTAAATCATTAAGATTTAATTTTACTCTCATCAAAAGGCAAGTTAAGGTCCCTATAAACTCCAACTCTATTCAATTAATATACTGAGCTAAAAGAAATTGCAGAATGGTCTCTGCTAAAGAATACAGTTTTCTTTTCTATTATTTAAACAATTTTAATGGGGTGACTCAAATTAAATCATCATTATTCTCCAAAAAGGTTTGCTTCTGAGATATGTTTGCATATAGTATTTTTACAATTCCTGGTCAACATGAAATATCCATGGAAACAGATCACACACACTGGAGAATAAAGGAATTTGAATTGTGTTTGAGCCACATTTTGTCATATCGATGGAGCTATTTGTGCTAAATATTTGAGTCATCAGGGAAACTATAATTTAAAATTATAAAAGTAAAAGACATAATATTTAATGCTTTTAAAGGTAGCAATATCTGCTATTAATTTTAAAGATTCTTATTAATATGTAGAGATAATATAAAAAGAAATCTGAATATTTTCTGACTCATACTCTAATATCAGCAAATAAAATGCTCTTTTTGCCTTACTGCTTGTGCAGAAAAGGGAGGGAAATTAAAAACTCAGCCTGGAAAGGATGGTGTTGCTGTTGCAATGCCTGGGTGGTTACATATAAGAAACTAACTTTAATTTTTTAGAGTATAAAAATAAACTGACCCAGTGTATTAACAATCGAGTCATGCAATCGTCAAAAAAAAAAAGGATGGTGTTGCTGTTTTTGTTCTATAGATAAAATAATTTGTTCTGGATGTCATTCAACTGTTTGTACAAAAAAGCCTCTAGTCTACATTCGTTGTCTAGCACTGAGATGTCTAAATTTTGGTTCCAACTATGACTAATCAAATAAGGATAGTTTGTTTAAAATACATGTAACAGAAGCTATAAGATGAAAATGTTTCTTACTCACTAAATAGTGCTGTAAACCTTTATGATATGAGTAATGTATTCTTTTCTTAAGCACTACAAAAATTTACCCAGGAACTTAAAACCACTAGAAATACTGTATCTTGAAAATTATCTTTCTCTAATCTGTCTTTAGAATATGAATCTATCTTTGTAAATAAAAATTCATAGACTTCTATTCAAATAACTCAAAATGTTCAAGAGGCATTGGAAACACCACTGGATTTTCTTTAGATTCTCATGTATTGCATCAACTGTTTACTATTATTATACATTTTATTTTTATATTTGTATTTCAATAAATATAATTAGAATAAACATAACATAGAAAAAGGGAAAATAATTACAAAAGTCATACATACTTTTCATTAAAATATGCATGTAGGCTATTATTATAAAGAAGTTATATCTCATTTGTATTGCTTGTTCCACAATCATTGTTTTGTTTTTTTGTTCTTGTTTTTTTCTAATTATTTTTCTTCTTTTACCTTCCCACCCTTCTTACTTATTAAATAAATAAATTAATTAAATTAAATAAATTTTTTTCATAGACAAGGTCTGGCTCTGTCATCCAGGTTGGAGTGCAGTGGTGTGATCATAGCTCACTATAATCTCAAATTCCTGGCCAATCCTCCTGCCTCAGCCTCCCGAGTACCTGGAACTATAGGTGCACACAATCACACCTGGAAATTTTTTGTTTTTAGAGATGGGGTCTTGCTATGTTGCCCAGGCTGGTGTCCAACTCCTTGGCTTAAGCAATTCTTCTGCCTCAGCCTCCTGAAGTACTGGGATTACAGCCATGAGCCACTGCACCCGGCCTGTTGGTTTTTAATGTTAAAGAAAGAATGCATTGGTAGAAGGCATTTAACTGCAACATACTTAGCTTGTTCTTTATACACCAACTCTCTACACCAAAATTTATCTTGCAAAAAAGAAGTACATTTCTTACTCTGCCAGTGGCAAGAACTGTTAAAACGCAAAAACGTAAAAGTCACACAAGCAGCAGAAAACTGCCAATGGAGTATTCCTTTCATTTGGCCCACTTAAATTATTTTCTGGTCATTATGCTCCAGCGGAAATGGGAATGAAGCCTTTACTTAGGTGGGCAGAGTAAGGCCGAGTGATAGTAACCCCCTCAGGTAGGTTTGCTTGAGCTCAGCCACTCTCCAGTGGGGGAGGGCGCGATTGTTTCCTCACAGGGCACGGTAGGCTGCCTACACACCTTCAGCTGAGTAACTGGCAGCCATGCTTAAAGGAATAAGAGCTCCAGTTAGGGGCTTTGTCGCAGTTATTCTTTCCTGTCCCAGCTGTTTTTTCCCTGTCCTTTTCTGGCTGTGATTGGAATAAACAGCAACTCAGATGCTCAGAGATAATTAAGCTTTGACCTTCCCAAGGCATGTGTGATTTAGTGGACAGAGGGCTATAGGCTCAAAAGACAGGTAGGTAAGCCTAAAATCTAAGATGTGATGGCAGAGGCAGAAACGGATGAAAAAGCCAACCCAAAAATACTCAGGCCTGGACACCCTCTTTGATTGAAGTTAATAAGAATCTACACACCATAGATACTCTTCCTTTTTTCCCTCAGATTCATTCTCCAGCCTTTTTTTTTTTTTTTTTTTTTTTTTTTTTTGAGATAGGGTCTTGCTCTGTTGACTCAGCTAGAGTGCAGTGACATCAACATAGCTCACAGCAACCTCAAATTCCTGGGCTCAAGTGATCCTCCTGCCTCAGCCTCCCGAGTAATTGGCACTACAAGCATGCGCCACCACACCCAGCTAAGCTAATTTTTCCATTTTTTGTGGAGATGCAGTCTTGCTCTTGCTCAGGTTGGTCTCAAACTCCTGGCCTCAAGCAATCCTCCCACCTCAGCCTCCCAAAGTGCTGGGGTTACAGGCGTGAGCCACCACACCTGGCCGATTGTCCAGCCTTCTTTACCTTACTCTGCACCCTGAGAAGCTGCCCCATGTGCACTGCATCATGGGGCTCCCCTGCCTTCTGGCTTCTAGTTGGGTTCAGCAAACATGGAGGGGCGTTGGTACGGGTAGAAAATTGGCGAGAGAGTAAGGAAGCAGAGTTTACTCCCCTGGCTTCCTCCCTGCCACATGGCTGTTTCCCTCTGCCAAAAGCTATGTTTCCTGTCAGGTGGCCCTCACAAAATAGTCCTCTCTCAAGGGTTTAGCAATTGCCCCTTACCCCTACCCCTTCAAATTTAAGGGTGGGGATAGCTCCCTGCTGCTAATAGCGCTGGGGTACTACAGCATCCCTCTTTATTTTGTCTAAAACTTGCCTTTATAGATAGCCCCTTTATTAACTTCTCCTTACTTACCCAGTTTGAAGGTGCCATCTGTTTCTTGGATCCTGACTAATACAGATGGTATTGATTTTCCGCAAGGAATCTCAGAAACATGATATTCCACATTACAATTTGGCTATATAATAACATTCATATTATGGAGGCATTTCTTTGTTCATAGTATATTTTACAACTAAAACCTTCCCAATCCCCCCATTTCCCACTCCCAAGCCAATCCTGGAGGTACACTGCTTTCTCCGTCTGCAATAGTGAGGGATTTTTGGGTTGCATTGATTTCAGACTAAGGATACCAGAGGGGAAAAAATGATAAGCTCTCTGCAGCCTCAGGGGTACCTCCAATTCATGTCTTCTTCTCCAACCTTCCTACTCCTACTGTTCAGAGTCCTCATACAACTGAGCCATGCATTCTTTCCAGGTCTTTATGTCCAGTGGGAGAAATAGGGGGGATGTGCTTCCTCCATCTTATTTGGAACTGGAAACTTCCTAAAGTAGTAATGTATGAGAAGATAATTTGAATTATAATTTTTTGGTTTTACAATGTTTTAAAGCTGACTGAACATAAATAATTTTTAAAAGATATTTCCAGGCACAGGCCGGGCGCAGTGGCTCACGCCTGTAATCCTAGCACTCTGGAAGGCCAAGGCAGGTTGCTCGAGGTCAGGAGTTTGAAACCAGCCTGAGCAAGAGTGAGATCCCATCTCTACTACAAATAAAAAAAGAAATTAATTGGCCAATTAATATATATAGAAAAAAATTAGCTGGGCATGGTAGCGCATGCCTGTAGTCCCAGCTACCTGGAAGGCTGAGGTAGGAGGATTGCTTGAGCCCAGGAGTTTGAGGTTGCTGTGAGCTAGGCTGACACCACGGCACTCACTCTAGCCTGGGCAACAAAGTGAGACTCTGTCTCAAAAATATATATATATATATATATATTTCCAGGCACAAATATTAACATTATAATTTGAACTACTGGGTCCATACATAATTGATTCTTATAATAATTGGAGGGCTTAAGACTCCAATAGTCAATGTATTAAAAGAAAAATATATTCATGCTCATCCCTCTACTTTTTTGTGTTTCTTGGCTATAATGTAACACATTTGCTTTTTTGTAATTTTAAATTTTTAATTATTATAGGTACATAATAGTTGTATATCTTTATAGGTTGCATGTGATGTTTTGATACAGGTATACAATGTGAATTAATCAAATCAGGGTAATTGGAGTATTCATCACCTCAGGTATTTATCATTTCTTTGTGTTAGGAAAATTCCAATTCCACTCTTTTAGTTATTTTCACATTTGCTATTAATGTTCATTTACCCCCTTCAGAAATGTCATATAAAAATTCAAGTAATTCAGAACTTTGGAGTGGGATTATTTTATAATTCATGAGTTACATGGTAGAGACTTTTTTTGTTTTTTTGTTTTTCTTTTGAGACAGAGACTCTGTTGCCCTGAGTGCCGTGGCATCAGCCTAGTTCACAGCGATCTCAAACTCCTGAGTTCAAGCGATCCTCCTGCCTCAGCCTCCGGAGCAGCAGGGCCTACAGGTGCATGTCAGTCACCACAGCCAGCTAATTTTTCTATTTTTAGTAGAGACGGTGTCTCACTTCTGCTCAGGCTGGTCTCAAACTCCTGAGCTCAAGCGATCCTCCTGCCTCAGCCTTCCAAAGTGCTAGGATTACAGGTGTGAGCCACCGCACCAGCCATATGGTAGATATTGATTCATAAGAAGTACACTGAGAACCATATATAAAGTTTAGTGTTAGTGACGCAGAAAACGTCGGGCGCCGGGATGTGGCCGCTTGCCTCCTCCCCATTGCTCTGCATGTCCTCGGGCCAGAGCTGTGCCGGCAGGTTGGAGGGCACGCTGCTGGGGCCGGGGCCGTGTGCCGCCACCTGCTTCCCACCAGCAAACTGATGAGGCCTGCACCTGTCATCTGGCTGCGCTGCTTGCATGATCCTGATTGGGTAATTTTTGAATCCCACTGTTCCTGATTGGATGTTAAAGCATGTTGCTGATTGGATGTTAAACCTTGATGCTGATTGGATGTTAAAGCTTGTAGTTGACTGGACGCTTTTTTTGAGTCCTACCAGGGGTATAAAAGTAGGAGGAGATGAAGGAAGGGGGGACAGAAGATCAGAAGAGGAGAAGAGAGCTGTAACACTTGCTGTGTTTAGCCTGCCGGAAGAATAAAGACTGTTCTCCAACTCTTCGTGTGCCGCTCAGTTGTTTTCCTGGTCAAGAGCTGTAACACTAGCTGTACACTTGCCATAACATTAGGATTTGGTTCAGCTATGAGTGACCCAAAAAAAAAAAAGAAAGGGAAACCCCACACAACAGTAGCTTACCTAATATATGTCTATTTTTTTTTTCCACACATAAAGCAGGAAGTAAAAGGTCCAGTGTTGATTTGGTGCTCCATTGTCTCAGGAACCCAGGTTCCTTCTTTCTTGATTCTTTGCCACATATCACCTTGATTCTCTCATGATCCAAAATGGTTGCAATACCTCCAGCCATCACAGGAAGAAGGAAGGGTAAAGGAGAGGGCACACACTTCCTCTCTTTAAGGCCACTTCCTGAAAGTTGCACATAGCACTTCTGCTTACATCTTTTTGGCCATAACATAGTCATAAGGCCAAACTTTGCCACAAGAAAGGTTGGAAAATGTAGTTATAGCTTGGGGAGTTATACCCACCTAAAAATTTAGGATTCTGTTACAACTGAAAGGAGAAGAATGATTATTGAGGGTCAACTAGTATTCCCTGCCACAAAACTATATCTTTAAGAAATCTTTATCCTGTAAATAACAGAAACTAAATTCAAATTAGCACAAATGATAAGTATTTCCTGGCTTATTTATTATTATTATTATTATTATTTTGTTTGTTTGTTTGTTTTTTGAGACAGAGTCTCACTTTGTTGCCCAGGCTAAAGTGAGCACCATGGCATCAGCCTAGCTCACAGCAACCTCAATCTCCTGAGCTCAAGCAATCCTACTGCCTCAGCCTCCCGACTAGCTAGGACTACAGGCATGCGCCACCATGCTTGGCTGATTTTTTCTATATATATTTTTAGTTGGTCAATTAATTTCTTTCTATTTATAGTAGAGACAGGGTCTCGCTCAAGGTGGTTTCGAACTCCTGACCTAGAGCAATCCGTCCACCTCACCCACCTCGGCCTCCCAGAGTGCTAGGATTACAGGCATGAGGCACCACGCCTGGCCTCCTGGCTTATTTAATTGGAAAGAACAGAGGTAGAGGGAGCTTTAGTTTGACTCAGGACATTTTTAATTTCATGACAGACCTAATTTCTTCCCATTTTCCTGGTAGCCTACTGCTCTGTCAGCTTCATGTAAGGCTAGCTTCCTTCTTTATGACAAAATATCTTCAGAAGGCACAAGCTTCACATCCTCACATCACACTTCTCAGAAGGAAAGAAAGGACTGACTTCTGGTAGTTATGGTGACTAGCCATCACAGTTTGCCTAGGCCTGTCCTGGGTTTAGCACTGGAATTTCTATGCTCAGGGAAATCCCACAGTCCCAGGCAAATCAAGATGGGTGGTCAGCCGCCACCTGGTAGCTCTCTCAGAAGGATTCAGGACCTTTTTCAGAGTTCCCCAGCCAACCTCTCATAGGTCATTGATTCAAATTGAGGCATATTCCCCTTTAGCCAGGAGAATACTAGACACTGATTTGCTTAAACCTGACAATTATTGTGACAAAAAAGGATAGAATTGCCTGACTGGGCAAGCAAATCAGAGCTAGTCTATGAAAATAAATAGAACTCAGTATACCCTACCCATAATCACATGGCTGCTACACAGCTGGGAGACACACCCACAATGTCCACAACAAGATTCAACTTACATAACAAAAGAGACACTTAGCATTTATAAAGCTGAAGACTCAGATGAAACCAGATGGCTTTGGATCTCAAAAGTAAAATATAGATGTTCTATTAAGGGAAATTGTTCTAGCTATAGAAAAGTATGTCAATAGATATTATTGTTGAGATAACAGATATTTTTGCTGATTTGTCTAAGCAAATCAGACCTGTTATTCCCCTTGCAAAAGGAGAATAGGCCCCAATTTGAGCAAATGAGATATGAGAGGATATCTCAAGGATAGGTTGGCACAAAACTACACTCTTGTATTCATACAACAGTGGAAGCAGTAGCACTTGATACTTTATTTTCTTTGGTCATATGCTGAAGCTGGGGATAGCCAATAATTTGGTCAAAGTAGTTGTGCTGAAATATGGTTAAATGTAATTGAAAATAATCCCATCTAAGACTGTGGTCTTCATGTGGTACACTGTTCACTACTGACTCATATTTGGTACCCTTTCTATGAGGCCTCTCCTACATGAGGATTATATTTCCCCATCCTGCTGAAATCAGATCATCATGTGATTTGCTTGGACTAGTGAAATGTGAGTGAATAGGACAGGTGACCACTTCCTGTCAGAAGTTTTGAGAGCTAAAAGGTCACTGTTATCTTTTCTCTCTGCCATGATGACCAGTTGTTCCAATGTAGTATTGAGTGAGAAAGAAATCTCTATTGTTTTTAGTCCCTACAATTCTGGGGGCATTTCTTACTATAAAATAATTAGCCTACCCTGATATTTCCTGCATATGTTTTGTTTCCTCCACACATTCCTTTCTAGCCTCTTCACCTGCTTCCCTTTTTTATGCCTAGTTTCTCCCTTCTTGCACCCCAACGAAGAGCAGAGAAACAGTTAACTAGCTGGAGCCTTGAAGGATTTTCTTGTCCTACAAAGGCCAGATACCCTCTAAAAGAATCTAGAGTACACTGCTTCCTAGACAGAAAACTAGAAGCCTGAGCATTAAACCAATGCTTACACTTAACTAGCTTTTAATTATTGACTTAATAGTAAACACTTCATATACATTTAATTTAAAAAATAAACATAAATTTGTAAATTTAAAACAGTTTAAGTTTATATAATTCCAGCAATTATATCCCATTCTCTATAACAATAATACTAATATAAAATTTGAAATGAAGGATTTAAAAATGTTTAACACTCTGGTCACTTGAAGAAAAATAATGTCAACAAAAAACCCAACTTCTTGGCCAGGCGTGGTGGCTCCTGCCTATAATTCTAGCACTCTGGGAGGCAGAGGTGAGAGGATTCTTTGAACTTAGGAGTTCAAGACCAGCCTGAGCAAGAACGAGACCCCATCTCTACTAAAAATAGAAAAAATTAGCCAGGCATGGTGGCATATGCCTGTAGTCCCAGCTACTTGGAAGACTCAGGCAGGATTGCTTGACCCCAGGAGTTTGAGGTTGCTGTGAGCTAGGCTGACATCATGGCACTCTAGGCGGGGCAACAGAGTGAGACTCTGTCTCAAAAAAAAAAAAAAAAAAAAAAGAAAAGAAAACCCAACTTCAGTTCTCTTCCAAGCTCACACAGAAAGTAAATCCATCACTTTATTAGTTTAGTTAAAGTAACAATTCCTAGATACCTGCCCTAGAAATTCTGATTCAGTAGGTATTTTGGAAATCACTGTGTTAAATGACTGAATTATTAATATAACTGGTACAAAGACAGTCAGTTCTTCAACCCTCAAGCTGTATTTTTCTCTTTCAAGTACTAGTCAGGAAATTGGGGGATGCGTGCCATACCCACAACTGCTCTGGCCACACTTCCAGCCAAGGAAAGTGGGTAGGCTATTCCCTCAGTACCCACATTCTATTCCATATGACCCTGCAGAAAAGTTTGTGTTTGTTCCTAAATCTTTGTATGTCATTCATACTTGTTATTATAAATATGCAATTTTATTCTTATCAGAAACATAACTATAAGTGAAAAAGAATTGTTTCTCTGAAAACAAAAATGAAAGTGAATCACCAAAAACAACTGCAAAATGTTTGTGTCTCCTCCATCCCCACCAAAATTCATACGTTGAATCTTCAACCCCCAATGTTGAAGATATGGCTGTTATACAGGTAAGTAAGGATAAATGAGGTCATAAGGGTGGTGCCATGATCCAATAGGATTACTGCCTTTATTAAAAAAGAACACAAAGAGAAGGCAGTGGTCTGGGAGGCAGGAAAAGAGCTCTCACCAGAAATTGACCATGCTGGCACTCTGATTTGAACTTTCAGCCTCCAGAACCGTGAGAAAATAAACATCTGTTGATTAAACCACCCATTCTGTAGTATTGTGTTATGACAACCTGAACAGATTACTAAAAGATTTGGGTACCAAGAAGTGGGGTGCTGCTGTAATAAATACCTAAAAATGTGGAAGTGGCTTTGGAACTGGGTAGAGGCTAAAAGAGTTTTGAGGCACATACTAGAAAAAGCCTGGTCTGCCATGAAGGAGCTGTTGGTAGAAATGTGGACATGAAAAGCAGCTCTGGTGAGAGCTTAGAAAGCAAAAAGGAGAGCTAGAGAGAGAGTATACTTCTTCTTAGAGAATAAATAATCATGAAACGAATGCTAGTATAAATATGGACATTAAAGGCCATTCTGTGGTGAGCATTGTGGAGGGGAAGGGCATAACTCTAACCCTTGCTAGGGAGAGGAAAAGACATAAAATGTGACCATAATGTTAAAAAAAAAAATTTATCGGGTGTCAGGCAGGTGGGAGGGGGAGGGGCAGATGGGTATATACATACATAATGAGTGCTATGCACACCACCTGGGGGATGGACACGCTTGAAGCTTTGACTCAAGGGGGGAGGGGAGGCAAGGGCAATAACATTTGTAGCCCCATAATATGCTGAAAAATTTTTTTAAAAAGCCATTCTGGTGAGGTCGTGGACAGAAATGAGGAATAAATTACTGGAAAATGGAGAAAAGGTGATCCCTGTTATAAAGTGGCAAAGAATTTGGCTGAACTGTACTCTAGTATGGTGTGGAAGACAGAACATGTGAATGATGAAACTGGATATTTAACTAAGATTTCCAAGCAAAATGTTGAAAGTGCAGGCTGGGTCCTTCTGACTGCTAATAGTAAAATGCAAGAGGAGAGAGATGAATTGAAGAAAAAATTATTAGGCGAAAAGCAACAGAACTTAAAGATTTAGAAAATTCTCAGCCTATCCATATTGCAAAAAGTGAGAAAGCTTGTTCTGAAGAGATCTAGAATGTGGTTTAGCAATAAGATCATTGTGGGTGTGAACCAGGAATTTAATCAGCCACCTCAGCAGAAGGCAGGAATAGAGATGGGATTATACCAGCAGAGACTCTGACAGTTTGAACTAAAGGGAGTAAACTGTAAGAGATGGGGGAAGGCTGTCAGACTTCTTGGATCTGCAGATAAACATGTCTTATCCTTCAAGAAAAGGGAAGACTGACCCTAAAGGCAACTCAGCTATCAGTCCCTCCACAGGCCCAGAAGCAAGGTTGCCTCCTCCTGGGTTTCAGGGGTTGAGCTCTCACAGTGTTATGGAGATGGCAGAGCATAAACGATGTGGGTACACTTTATTGACAAAAGATTTTACTGTAAAATGGGGCAAGGGTATAGGGCTTTGTTGGGAGAACTCCAAAATATCACTTTGAGGTGTTTCATCTGGGGCCTTTTATCTAGAAAAAAATCTCCTGCCTAGAGTATACTAACATGGCTATCAGTGTTCTGAGAGCAAACAGTGGAAGAGGGCAGGGGTTAGTTTTACTATTTAATATATAGACTTTTCATGTAATCTATTTTTTGCTTGGCCTGGTATCCCTGAATATGGGCCCCTCCACCTCAAATTCCCCATCAATTAAACCTTCTATCTCACAAAACTGGGGGTGAACCAGTCACCTGGCTACTTGACCCAGGGACAGTGACTTGGACCTGGATGTCACAATGCTTCACACAAATATTCAATCAATTGCCTGGTCTTCCCTTCTGCACTCTTCCTCTGATGTGGTACCTCCAATTTTTGAGCTTTTCTAAGGTTCTGAAGTATAAATTGTTTTACCTCTAATTAACATTCCCCTCTGCATTCAGCTTTCTTAGATCCCCTTTTGTCTTCCAATAAGAACATGCTGATATTTCCCATTTACTATTGTCTTTCTCACTCTTAGTCATTGTGAGTTTTTACATTTCCTTGTTTCTCTGGGCTTTCACAGGGAAACAAGATAAACACGTTTAATTTCTCATGTTAAACCAAAAGCTACTTTGTAGATATTCATTTCCAAAATTATGAATTATTTTAAAGTCAATAATGCTGTTATAAAATACTTAAGTGACATAAAGTTCATAATATATTCCTTTCTTTTCAATACCTTTGGTTTCTATGATTAGAAAAGTAATATATGTTCATTTCATAATAATCCAAATGATACAGAAGTATCTAACAAAGTCTCTCATAGTCCTACCCCACAGATAAAGCCACAGGTTGATTTGTATTCCTCTCTCAAATATACTGTTTAGTAATTTTGTATTTGTATAATACATGATAGGAAAAACAACAGATAACACTAAAATGTTCTTGAACTCCTCGAGCGATCCTCCTGCTCCCAGAGTGCTAGGATTACAGGCGTGAGCCACAGTGCCCAGCCAACACTAAAATGTTAACAGCAGTTCATTCTCTCTGGTTTGTGTAATTAGTGATGATTTTTTCCTCCTTCTTTTGGTTTATCTGTATTTTCTAATGTGCCTAAATAATTAACATCTAATTATTTTTTGAAGATTTTTTTATTTTAAAAAACTTGTACATTTTAGTGTCTCTTCTTTAAACACAGCATACAATGATATTCAAAGTTGGCTTGTTTTGCAATTTTTCGTTTCATTTAAAACAAAATCCCCTCTAAGAATAAAGTAGTAAAAGGCTCTCTGATATCTATAATTAAGAGAATTTTTAAACTATAATAAATAGTGGCCAATGGGTCAATATAGCCTACCATAAAGTTTCCATCACTTAGTTATGTAATTTGTGTTAAACCAAACAGGTACTTAAGCCTGAAGAATTTCACAGATGCACATACACTTAATTTTTCCTTTGAACATCATTCACCAGGTGGTCTGGAAATCTTTGACCTGGAAGCCTTATCTGGTTTCCAGACCTCCAGTGAAGGTGTTACTTCCCAAAACTTTGTGATTCTTGTACACTTTGTGGGACTTAATACGTTAGACTTTTACAGCAAAGTTACTAATTAATCACCATAAAGTGACATAACTAGCAAAAGGGTACACAATTGTACAATGTTTACCAATTGTTTTTAATATCCTAAAGTGACAAATCAAGGATCTATTTTCAACAGGTAATTCACAAAGACTGCCTTAAAAGATTTTACATCAATACTTCTACACAAATGGATCAGGTGCGCTGGCTCACACCTGTAATCCTAGCACTCTGGGAGCCTGAGGCAGGAGGATTGCTTGAGCTCAGGATTTCCAGGCTGCAGTGAACTAGATGACAACTACGATGCCACGGCACTCCAGCATGGGCAACAGAATGAGACCCTGTCTCAAAACAAAAATAAACAACAGAAAAACTGCAAATGTGCTATTGATACTGCAAAACCAGCCATCATTCATTCTACATGATAATCATTCAAAACTGGTTATCAATCTCCAATCCAAACACAGCTACCAAGTCTATCCGGTTTCCAATTAACCAGGACGGTGACCCTCAAGGAAAGGGAAGGTGTGGGTCTGTTCCTCTTCAAGGCCTCTCCACCTCCTAACCGTCTTTTAGTGGTTCCGGTGTCCTGCGAGGTCTCTGCCGCTAAGTAGAGGCCATCCCTCCCCGCCCTTCGCTACGCCGGGAACGGCCCGCAGCTGACCTGAACAGAATTTCTGCCTCAGCCTCAAAAGAAACCCTCGCCTGACACCTGAGGCCTGTAACTCATGGGTGCGAGGAAGACTCCTCTCTTCCGGAGGCCACACATCACTTCCCTTGCCCCGCCCAGTTTAGAAGCCCGCGCACCCGCAAGTCGGGGGACGCGCCAGCGAGCGGGGCCTCCTCTGCGCACGCGCGCCAGCCCTGCCCCGCAGTCGCGAGGACTGAGGAGTGGGGGCCAATCAGAGAGTGCTTAGCCTCTGCGCTCCCCGCTCCGCCGCGCTTGCGGCCTCCATTCAGGGCGACGTTCAGAACACAATAGTCCCTTCGGCGACGTTCCCACGAGTCGTCACCCATAGAAACGGTTTTCCCGCAGGCGGCCTCCAAGCCCCGCCCGTGTGGGCGGGAAGTGAGGAGGAGCGGGAAAGGCTGTTCTTCGTTTTCAAGAGAAAACCTTCACCCCCATCTCCGACCTCCCTGCCCTTCCCCCCACCTTGGGATAGAAACGTCCCTAGACCGCGCTCAGATTAATGGGAGGCGCTCCGTGAAAGGAGACAGAATTCGTTCCTGTGGGAGAAGATGACAGATTTCCTCCTTGTGTGGTCACGAGGCGTCTGTCCGCTGCCCAGAATCCCGGAGTCTGGCGTGTGGTGCTTCCGGTCGCTCTACGGGGGCGTCAGCAACCCCTTCACCTTGTCTCCGCCCGATGGAGTCTGTACCAGGGCCTTGTTCCCTCCACGAGTTAATAGTGTCCTTGTGTTTTCTGATTCTAAGAACACTGCTTTTTAAAAAATGCCTGCTGCCCGTGATAGGAGCAGTACTTCAACCGTACATAAACGTACACAAAGAAACTTAAACTCACCCACAATCTTCCCACCAAGGGATAACACTACTAACAAATAAATATATATAAATTGCTATATAAATTTAGGATTTGCTATATAAATTTAGGATTTTCATTTTCAAAACTCTTGAAGGGTTTTGTTTTTTTTTAATGGAAAATTGTGAGCGTGTGATAACCTCCCCAAAATGTCTGATATCTTTCCAGGAAAATTAAAATAGGTTACATAATTATTTTTAATGGCTGCAAGGGTATCATAATTTGTTCAACCAGTCGCTAAATTATTGGACTTTTCAGGTTTTTCTAGCTTTTCACATCTACAAGCAATACTAGATGAATATTCTTATACGTAAATGTATATATGTCCCTGATTATGTCCTTATAGTAAATTAATAGAAATAAAATTACTGGCTCAAAGGGAATACAGTGTTTCTAAGATTCTTAATGATATTACCAGACTCTCCCATAGAAATTTATTTACTGCTTTTCCACCAAAGTATGAGAATGTCTGCATTTCCTTGCTAATCTTGAGTATTGTCAATCTTCCTAATCTTAATTATCTCTTTTCAAAAGACTCTTGTTTTAATTTGCGTTTCATTACCTAAGTGTAAAACTGAACTTCTTTCATGTATTTATTGGCTCTATTTTGTGAATTACTGGTTCATGACTTCTTCCTATTTTAAAACTGAAATATTCACATTTTTAAAATTATAAGTGCTTGTATAGTATAAATAGTAACATTTGTCTGAAATATTTACAAATATTTTTCTTGTTTTTTTAAGTTCATCTTTTAATATGGCGTATGGTTTTTATTTACTGAAGGAAATTTTAAATTTTTATGTAGGCCTATCTAATCAGTCTTTTCCTCTATTTCCAGGTTTGATATCATGCTTACTTCCGTGTATTTTTTTCTAGCATTTTTAGGTGTTTTTTTTTAAATTCAATATTTAACTCCATCTGAAGTTTATTTATAAGGAGCAAGGGAAGAATCTAGCTTAAATTTTTTTTTCCTAAATGACTTGTTGGTTGCCCCATACCATTTATTGAGTACTCAGTTTTCCCTATGATTTAAAATGGTGCCTTTGTAAAATGCAGTTGGCTCTTCATATTTGTGGGGTCCATACCTGTGCATTCAACCAACCTCAGAATGAAAATATTTAGGAAAAAAAAATATTGCCTCTCTATTGTACATGTACAGAGCTTTTTTGATCATTATTGCTTAAACGATACTATTACATCGCATTTACATTATATTAAGTATTATAAGTAATCTAGAGATGACTTAAAGTATACAGGAGGATGTGTGTAGATCATATGCAAATGCTATGCCATTTTTTTTTTTTTTTGACACAGAGTCTCGCTTTGTTGCCCAGGCTAGAATGAGTGCCATGGCGTCAGCCTAGCTCACAGCAACCTCAAACTCCTAGGCTCAAGCAATCCTTCTGCCTCAGCCTCCCAAGTAGCTGGGACTATAGGCATGCACCACCATGCCCAGCTAATATTTTCTATATATATATATTAGTTGGCCAATTAATTTCTTTCTATTTATAGTAGAGATGGAGGTCTCGCTCTTGCTCAGGCTGGTTTTGAACTCCTGACCTTGAGCAATCCGCCCGCCTCGGCCTCCCAAGAGCTAGGATTACAGGCGTGAGCCACCGCGCCCGGCCACCATAGGTACTTTCTTTACTGTTCCATTGACTTACCTGTTACTGGGCAGTAATATAGTTTTAATATGCCTTTAAATTATTTATAAATTTGTGATGGGGTAAATCCCTGTTTAATAGTCTTTAAAAATTGTCTTTCTAAAATATACTTGATACATATAAAAGAAAATTTTGTAATATATGTGAATTTAAAGGCATAATACGAAACCAACCCCCACCAATGGCTTGCATCAATCTATGTGCTCTTTCCATTACATCCCTGTTGTCCTCTCCAGAGATATATTATTTCTTCCATAGTAATGTTAAATTTTTAAAATTAAAAAAGAGTTGTAATTTTGATTGGGATTGCAGTACTTTTATAGATTTAATTTAGGGAAAATAGACATCTTTATAAAAGTAATAAATACGTAGTTTTTACAAAGTGTTTTGTGTTAATTCATTTAATCCACACAACAACTCTATTATCATCCTTATTTTACAGATGAGGAAACTGAAGCATAAAATAATTTGTCTAAAGCTAGTAAGTGGCAAAGTCAAAAGTCAAACCCAGGCCCTAGACCCTGTACTGTTGTTGTATTGCCTCTCCACAATATGGAATCTGCTCATCTATAATGGACATGCCAGCCAGTTTGCCTATACCACTCCCCCAAGTCCCAGTTGGCATCCTTTGTTAGTGATCAGATACCTACTTGACCTTCTCCCCGCCTGCTATAGCTGATTAGACTAGGGGTAGGTAGAAAATGGATTCAGGCTGGTCCAATCAGATTCTCTCTGAGATATTTGCAATTATGTAATCTTAGCTGGACTCCTGCCCCAGAAAGTGATGATACAAGGGCAAAGCAGGAAGAGATGTTTAATGCACATTCAGGTAGTACAGAGAAAGCAAACCTGCAGAGGAAGCAGATGCACAGAAGCAGCAGAGTGGCTGTAGAGGGAGATATTGGGTTAGGGGTCAGGGGTTCTGGGACTTCCAGATTCTGGCTTGCCCCTACTTAAGGCTCTCCTGCCCTATCTGCTGTTGGGGATCTCCATAAGGTACCTCTCTTTCTTCAGATAAAGTCACTCTCTCAGTTTAAGCTCACCTGAATGACTTTCTTTTTGCTTTGAAACTCAATATGCCATGTGGCCCACTATTTACCCAAGTTTTCTTTTAAAGTTTCCCAGTATCATTTTCTTCACATAGATCCTATACATTTCTTGTTCAGTTCATTCTTAAATATATTTTAGGTGTCATTTTGCTGTTTAAAATGACAATATCTGTTTATCATTGTCCCCTTCCCATCTTAATGTACAAAAATTCTACTTTCATCAGTTGAGACTGCCAAATGTCAATGGCTTATAAATGTGACATTAGTATTTCAAATACATTCCAAAATAATGTTATCCACTAGATTTATTTTTTACTTCTATACTTTGAATTGTCCTGGTGATGATTCATGTGAGGATGACGATGATTCATCTGATGGAAATGAGCCACAAGGATCCCAAAGAAGTATGAAATTTCCTATAACCTAATCTAAAAAGAAAGTCTCATATATGAATAGTAACATTACATTTCCAACACATTTAACTAATATTAAAACAGATAAAATTAAGAAAATGACTTTTAAGAAGATCAATTTTCAGATACAAAACAATAAAACAATAGAGGACATAATTTAGATAAATATTTGGAATATAGTACACAAAAAAACCCCAGAAATTAAGATAAACTGATAGCTCATCCTTAACATAGGCATATAATCTTTTATCCAAATTCTTTCTCACTAGATGTGTTTCAAAACTCAGAATTGTCAGGATTTTGGACAGGAATATAATGTATATACTATGTATTCTCAGCGGGTCTGGAGCAGCATCTTGTCAAACATATTCATATCCGTGTAAAAATGCATTAGTGTTAACCTAACAAGGATAAATAAAGGCTAGAAAATAGATACACATCTGTTCAGGTCAAATTTTGCTGCCAAATGTGTTTGCCACAAACTTATAGAAAACTTTAGATTTCTAGAACTTTTCTTGATTTTTGAATTTTAGATAATGGTTTGTAGACCTGTGCAAGCAAATATGCTCAGATTTCAACATCTGGCCAGCTGTGGGGGTCAATTAGAGAGTTTTTTTAAGTACTAGCTGTGTTTGATGGTCTTGTGGTCTGGGGTGTTTAGTCTGAAGGCAAAGAGTACACTTTTAGAAGAACAAAATACAGACTTTATTGAAAAAGTTTAACTGGTAACGTTTCTTATCAATTTGCATTCTTGACCTTTGTCCTCAGTCATTATTTCAGTGTGATGTTTTGGTTGAAAAGAATTGCAATAAACACTGAAACTTTCTAGTAAATCCTAACATATAAAACTTTGCTGTATTTTTTCGTTAAATCTGTCAATGAAGAGATCCTTGCCTTGATATTTTTTTTATTTCTAGCACACAAAATTACTTCCTTCTAAATATCCCATGACTACACAATGTTTCAGTTGAGTCTATTCAAGTGTCAAAATTAAGAGCTTATTTAGTCATTACAGAAATTGAGCGCCTACTCTGTGTCAGACTCCAGCTGGGTGTTGAGGATACAGTCAGGTGAACAAGAAATACAGATAAGACATTATAATGCAGTGTGATAGGTAACGTGGTACGGTAAGTACAGCAAGCCTTGAAACATGTACTACAGGTAAGAAAAGGACTGAAGGTTAAGTAAGAAATCAGGCAAGTAAAGGGGGGAAGGAAATTAAAAATTGTTCTAAGACAGAGTGATTTTCAAAGTGTGGTCCAAGGACTAGCAGCATCAACATCACCAGGGAATTAGGAATAATAGATCTTGGACCCTATCCGAGACCTACTCAATCAAAAACTCTAGGGGTGGAGCCTAGCAATCTGTATTTTAATAAGCCCAACCATCCAGGTGATTCTGATGCAAACCAAAGTTTGAGAACTACAGCTCTAAACAGCAAATGTGTAAAAAACGGAGAGTAGGCAATCTTTCCATAAGTAAGATGTTTATTGTATCTGAATGGCAGAGTACAAGAATGGGGGGGGGGCGTGCCATGAAATTGAAATATGAGTTTGGAAAGGTAAGCATGCTTCATTTAGGGTCTTATAGGTCATGTTAGAGTTTGGACTTCATTCATTCAAAAAACATTCATTGTATGTTCATATTATAAGTACAACATACAAAAATAGATTCCCTGCTCTCATGGAACTTAGCCTAATAAGAAAATGAATATAGGCCAGGCACGGTGGCTCACACCTGTAATCCTAGCACTCTGGGAGGCCGAGGCAGGCGGATTGCGCGAAGTCAGGAGTTTGAAACCAGCCTGAGCAGGACTAAGACCTTGTCTCTACTATAAATAGAAAGAAATTAATTGGCCAACTAATATATAGAGAAAAAATTAGTCGGGCATGGTGGCACAAGCCTGTAGTCCCAGCTACTCGGGAGACTGAGGCAGTAGGATTGCTTGAGCCCAGGAGTTTGAGGTTGCTGTAAGCTAGGTTGATGCCACGGCACTCACTCTAGCCTGGACAACAAAGTGAGACTCTGTCTCAAAAAGAAAAAGAAAATGAATATATATGTAAGATGGCAAAAAATGCTATGATTCAACAACTTGGATAACAGCAAAGAGAATTGTGCTGAGTGGGGGGGAAAAAAGACAACTCCAAAAGGTTAATTCTGTATGATTCCATTCGTATAATATTCTTAAAATAACAAAACTAGAGAAA